CGGGTAGCGGAGGTCTGGGCGTTACAGGGGTCCTCTGGATCGGCCTCACGGAGGGTCGGGAGGCTTTGGCAGGAAGTGGGTGGGAAGTGGATGGCACAGGCTTCTTGGTGGGGGGGGCTGACTTTGTGAAGGAAGGCCGAGCTGCCTTCTGCGTGGGGCGGGGGTTTTTGACAGGGCCTGTGGAAGGAGGAGTGGCTGAAAGCCTAGCCGGATGACGTCTGGGGCTCCCGGTGGCCGTGCTCTTCTGCAATGGCTGGACAGGTGTGGCGGAGGCGGCACGAGAGGCTGGGGGCACGGGAGGAAGCACTTCACCGGCTGACAGCTTGGCAGGTGGCAGCGGGGTCCGTGCTGGGCCCCTGGCTGCAGCACGCTGGTGAGGGTCTGTGATGCTAGTCCTTAGGGGCTTGGTGGGTGTGGCAGGCACCACAGTCCCCCTGGGATCCCTGCTTGCTGGCCGCGACCCCAGGGCTGGTGCGGCAGTGGTCAGGTTCTCCAGGCCTCGCAGGGCAAGGTCAGTCTGGAAGCTGAAGGTTGTGCCAGGGTCTCGGGGAAGGAGGGGTCCCAGCTGGGGCCGGTATGTGTCGGCCTGTCCACACTGCTTTCTCAGGTGGGTACAGTAATTGTGAGCGACCTGCGTCACAGGGTAGATACTGAACTGGCACAGGGCACCTTCAAACTGGACCGCGTGTGGGTTCATCTTCCCAAAGAGGAAGGAGCCCTCGGGGTCGAGTGCTGGGTCCTTGTGGAAAGGCAGCGGGACAGGCACCCGGTGCTGCCCGCAGGCCGTCACCAGGGTGACGGTGCGGCCGCGGAGCTCCAGAGCTAGGTGATGCCAGCGCCCGTCATGCACGTCGAGGTCAAAGGCCACCGAGCGCCGGGGCCCCAGGTGGAGGACCGTCTTGCCGGGGAGAAACTGCAGGCCCAGCTGCAGCTTGTGTTTCCGGCTGCGGACGGCGAAGAGGAAGGCATGGTTCACCCGGTGGGAGCAGAGGCTCAGCACCAGAGCCAGCTCTGTGCCCAGGGAGGCGGGAATGACGGCGGCTGTGGGGGTCTGGAGCCGGGTCCGCTGCGTGAAGATGAAGCCTGATTGGAACGGAATGACCCCCGGGGGCGGGGGGCTCCGGCCACCCCCTGCCTTTGTCCAGCTGAGGCCGAGCCGCTGGAGGACGTCCACATCTGCAGAGGGCGGGGCAGAGGCAGGAGAGGGCACGGTCAGAGCCTGCTCCAGCCCCAGACCCCTGCAGGCGCACAGACACAGTGAGGACAGGTCACCCATTGCTACACTGTGGCCCGTGCCTGCGGCTGGGAGTACACAGCCGGAACCCGTTCCCTATCTGGCTGGACGATGATGCATATACTAGTTTAAGACACAGACCCCGGGCACCAGGGCGGCTCGGTCGGTTAAGCGCCTGACATCGGCTCAGCTCACGATCTTGCGGTTCCCAAGTTCAAGCCCCACGTGGGGCTCTGTGCTGACAGCTCGGGGCCTGGAGCCTGCTTCGGATTCTCTGTCTCTCTCTGCCCCTCCCCCACTCATACTCTGTCTCTCTGTCTGTCTATCTCTCTTTCTCTCTCAAAAATAAATAAAACATTAAAAAAAAAAAGACACAGACCCTGGAGCCAAACTTCCTGAATTCACTTGTGACTTACTGCCTCAGTTTTCTCGCCTGTTAAATGGGATAGTAGAGTCAAACGCAGAAGGCTATTGTGAGGATACACTTGAAAGCAAGAGCCTGGCACAAAATAAGCACTTCCCAATGATAGCTATTCGTACCGAAAATAATGATCATCACCAAATGCTAGCGCTAAGAGTATTCGAGACTGCCGAACGTGACAGGCTTCCCCTTCTCTCTGCCTCAAAAGGCATCTCCTCCAAGAAGCAGTCCCCTGAGTGAGGGAGCAGGGTGAAAGGAATGGATGTGTCACAGGAGTTTGGTAAGGATGTCCAGTGGGCCTGACTGGTCTCACCACCTTTAGGAACCTCCCCGGCCCCCTGCCCACCCCCTAGGTCTCTCTCTGGCCAGAGCAGGGTGGGGGGAGCCGCTATCTGCACAGAGGGAAGAGGATATTTCCAATGACTCCCCTCCTCCCTGTGCGGCTTTGGACAGAGCAGAGGAAGCAATCAAGGCGTCCCTGCAAGCTCCGTCCTCTGGCGAAGCGTTTGGACATCTACTGTGGCCTGGCCAGGTCACATCCGCCCAGTAATTACATCGGTGGGGCTCGCCAGAGCAAAAGGAGGGCGTCCAGGGTGTTTATGGAAAGGCTTCCTGACCTTGCCTCTTGCCGGGTCACTCGACCTCCCTCAGCTGGCTGTGCTGCGAGCATCTGCAGAAGCCAGCTCCGGAGCCCCGACCCAGAAAGGAGAGGCTGCCTCTGGAGCTGGGGTCTGGCTTGGGTGCTCAGCTCCCCTCCCCCACCCCCGCCCCCCCGAGCTCAGCAACCTAAACCCCGAGCGTGGTCCAGGGGGTGCCCATCAGGCTGAATGCGGCGCTCGGCCCCTAGTCCTGAGCTAACAACTGTGACGTGGATGGACGGATGGACGGAGGGACAAATAGATGGGCTGGGGTCAGAAGGCCGGGCTTTGGAGCCAGACAAAGCCACCTGTGAGTCTGGACTCCGGGCCTCAGTTCCCTCCGCTGTAAAACGAGGCAGAGGAGAACGCCCGCATCACAGGGTTCTTGGTCTTCCTCGCCAATCCTCACACACGGCCTGCACCAGCACCTCTGGGCAAGTCTCTTCCTGACCCCTGGGCCTCAGTTTCCCTGCCTGTAAGACAAGGGAAACCAGACCTAGAAGCGGCCACGACGTGCTAACGATGTTCTCAGAACTCTAGAGGGGTAGGCTGCTTCTTCGGGTTGGCTTGACTTGAAGACCCTTATTCGTCCGTAGGGCCTGTGGGCCTTCACTTCACTGCAAATTCCCCCTCTCTCCCATCTCCGTCTGCCCTCAGACCCTAATCTGAAATAAACCACTGCTCAAAGATTCTCTTGGTAGTAGTGTATTTCACACCTTTTAATCACTGAAACGCTCTTATTATCACAAAATACTACCCACTACGAACAGCTTAAAAGCGAGCAGGTGCTTGCTAGGGAAGAGGTGAGGGCAGGAACCCACCCCCCACCCCCGCCCCTTGTCCCATCTTGGCAGCCCCCGGAGGACCCCAGGCCTGCACAACATGTCCTCAAACACCGCAGCTTATGGCTGCTTGCGCTCACCCAGGGGAAATGACAGTTGGCCAGGCCAGGAGATACCAATGGGCTTTCCCTTAGCGTCCTTTCAAAACCCACACTCGCTAGTCTCCAGGCCACCCCTGCAGACTGTCTGTAGGTCAAGGGCAAAGCCCCGAACTCTGACACCTGGAGCTGGCAGAGGTGGTCATCTTAGGGAAGACTGACCACTGCGGGCTCCACAGGGGATAGAGAAGGACTGTTCTTAGCCAAGTTTTCAGGTAAATGATATAGTCAACAACAATAATAAATGCGAGGATTTGTTGAGCACTTACTATGAGCCAAGTGCTTTACATGTACTATCTCTCTTGAGCCTCTCAATCATCTATGATGAAGGTACTGTTTATTATCCCCCCTTCACAGACGAAGTTCAGAAAAGTTCACTATAATAACTAGCCCAAGGTCACACAGCCTATAATAAAAGGTACAGCTGGAATCTGAACCCAGGCCACCTGGCTCCAGGGTCTCTGTTCTTAACACAATGCTATACTGAGCTAGAGCTCCTCAGACAAATGAGAACGTGGGGTGGAGGCACATCCAGGACCCAGGGGCGAGGCGCTAGGGGACAGGAGAATGAATACAGCCCAACGCCATGCTGGAAGGACCCAGCCAGCTGGCCGCAGCAAGATCCCTTTATTACATAAACCTGGCTCCACATAGCTCCGGCCTCTCCCCAACACCCCCCGCCCCCCATCGCCTGACTCAGGACTCTGGACAGCTGTTCACCTACTTTGTGGGGGAAACAGCAAGCTCGGAAAATATGACATTTGCACAAAATGTTGCCGGGCAGCAGAAGCCTCTTCCGGGCACAGCCCTCCCCTCCCGGGGACCCAATCCCTGCCGGCGGCCAGGTCAGGCCACAGGGGCTCTGAGAGTGCCCGGCTGCCTGTCCCGGCACACAGGCGGGCGTGGAGGAGGGGAAGGGCCGCTATTTTAGGAGGCGTCGTGGCTGTTTGACAAACAGATGTGGGAGAGGTTTCAGTTTCCACGGGCAGCTGTGCAGCCTGCCCACGGCCGCTCTGGCCCCCTGGCCGGCTCCTCAGGGATGGCAGGGAAGAGCAGGATCTCACGGGAAGGGCAGGAAGTTGTGGCCTTCGTGCCTCCTCTCAGCAGTTCTTGGTACAACCACTGGACAAATCAGGACGACTGAGGCTGACTGAACCAACGTGATTTATTCCAATTCTGCCTGTTCCCCGACCCCCCGACCCTTGGGTAGGAAAGAAAGGGTCAGCTTTCCACATTTCTGCACTGAGTCCTTCCTGCCCCTTACAAAACCCTAAATGTGATTCTTTCAAGCCCAGAGAGAATTTGCCAACGATGGGCTCCATTTTACTGATGGGAAAACTGAGGCAGTGAGTTCCAGGGAGGGGCCTAGCCGTCTCCTAGCCCTGCGTTCTCAGGTCCCTTCTGCCCTCCCTTGTCTCCCTCTGCACAAAGAGAAGAGAGGATTACCTTCAGGAGCTCCTTGGGTGGAGGCCAGGTGACAGACAAATGACACTAAGATCCAGGTGAAGAGAAACCCCCTAGAGACCGGAAGACACAAGCAGATGCGGCATCAGCTTCCACCCTCAGGCCCGGATCCGGCTGGAGAGATGGGAGGGAACCACCCAGGCCCAGTGTCCCCCAGTCTCGCCCATGGAAGGTGGAGGCAAGATACAGGCTCTAGGACCCCACTGTGTAGCCCACGCTCCCGGATTTCCAGGCGCAACCCCTGCGGGCCGGACCTGCCTACGCAGCCCAAATACAACCTGGCTTTTTACAGATCGATAACCCATAATCCAAGGTCACAGGGCAGGAAAGAGTGGGCAGGAAGCCCTGCCCTGGGCGTCAGGAGACCCAGGGCCCAGCTTCAAATCTGCTGCTGACTCACCGGGCCACCAGGGGCCCGCCCCTCCCCATCTCTGGGGCTCAGTCTCCCCATCTGTTCTGTGGCCTCAGGATCTTGAGGCCCACTGGGCAGCAGAACCAGGACTGAAAGTTCAGTGGGAAGACCGAACTGATGTGCTTGGATGACTGACATCTCAAAGGACAAATGAGATGAGAACTCCTCTCTAGACGCAAGGTGGAGGAGGAGAAGACCCCTGAACCAGGAACAACGCATGCTAAGGAAGCCGCCTACCTGGCTTCATGCCAACGGAAAAAGGCAGGGAGAGAAAACAGAGGGACAGAGGACACAGCGGGGAGTCAGGCAGACCCAGGTGCAAACCTGGCCCCGTTGCTTACCAGCTGTGTGACCCTGGATGAGTCACTCAGCCTCCCTGAGCCCGCCTCCTGCTTTGCAACACGGCCGACATTCCCAATGGTGCAGGCCAGGCATGAGGATTAAGTGAGCTCATGCATGTCAAGGGCTTGGCCTGGTGCCAGCCACAGAAGTGCTCCTTAGACAGTCATTGCTGCCCCTGAAGTCTGGGGCCCGGAAGGGTTAATGCTCTGCTCGGTGGCTCCTGCGAAGATGGGCAGAGGCAGTGATCTGATTTCACCTTCCTGTGGGAGCAGCCACCGGAGACACCCGAAGCCACCCGGGGCATCTGATCCCTGAACAGGCCAAGGGGAGGGCAGCACGTGGCCAAAGACGGCCGGCCGGGATGCAGGCAGAGAGAACCGAGACAGGCGGGTGCTGAGGGCTAAGGCTGGGATGCACAGGCCCGGGATCCGTTTCCAAGAGGAAAGCTAGGATGCTGTGTTTCTGGGGAACCACGTAATCCAGGAAACCCATCTGCCGGAACTGATGTCTGGAGCCCCACGTTCTTCCCAGCTCCCCGGAGCTCCTTGGAAAACAAGTTTACACCCTCCGATTTAATAGCAATTGCTCCAATTTGATTGCAATTATGATCAATAGTAATCCTGACTGGCACTGTGAAGGACACTGGTGGTCACCTACCCTTCCCTTCTTGTTCAGGGAGGCACGGACTTCAGAGGGTACTGGATGAATCCGGGTAAGTCTAAGCCAATCTTGGGAATTTCTTCTGCCATGACAGTGACCGGTTTAGGCACACATATGTGACCCAAATGTGGCCAGTAAGATGTGAGGGATGCCTCTTAGGGCCCCTGGAAAAGTGTTGCAAAGGGACAGAGAGGGTTCCTTCTAGCCTCTGTACGTTATCGAGTGGGGATGTGCTGCTGCAGCCATTTTGGGCACATGAGCTTAACAAGCTCCGTGAGCATTTGAGGATGACAGAATGGAAAAATAGGAGACGTTTCAGGACACTTGAGATGCTGAAGTAGCCAAGCCTGTCGCTGCTTTTGCTTCAGATCTCTCGATACCAGAGGTAATAACTCCCTTTCCATAAGCCAGGCTGGCTTGGGTCTTCAGTGAGTTGCAGCGTAAAGCAAGCTGGCTGCGGTAGCCCTCAGATGCTGACGGTGGTCCCTTGAAAGCCTCCTCCAGCCTCCGGGCCTTTCTCATGCCCTACCAAGCGCTCCCGACGCCACTCTTTAGCCTGGCCAGTTCCCACACAGGCATTCGATTCCAGCTTGGGCCTCACCTCCCACAGCCCGGTGCACGCACCTCACCACAGCAGGTATCCCACGTGTGCTAATTGCCTATTTTCCTGCTTCCCTTTCCAGAAAAAGTCCCCGAAGAGTAGGAACCACATCTGTCTTGATCACTTTTGTATTCCCAGCACCTGGTAAGCACGTCATAAACGTTCAGCGTATCTTTGTAGAAGGAATACATAGTACCTGGTATTCCAGGACTTTAAAAGCATCCCCCCCAAAGGCCCTCCCCACCTCTGCCTTCTTCCAGGGTCGGTCCTGGATAATCTTCCGTTCCCCCTCATCTTCTCCAATCTGCTGCCATTGCTGTGAAAATGCCTTTCTCACGGGGCCAGTCCACCGCGGACCTCGCCTCCAGCTCACCGCTAGCCATGACTAAAGGTCAGAGTGCCTAGCTGCCCTGACGTCATCTGGAGGAAGGACAGAGGCTGGCCCTGCCGACACGACCTGCCCGCTTGAAGCCAATGGCAGCCTCGTCGGGCCTGAAAAGAAATGACAGGAGGCTTTGTTTGACGTGCCACAAACAGAGGCTCAGGGAGGGCAGGTACCTCTTCAAGGCCACCTGGGAAGGCTCTGGGGTCATAATTCTTCAGTATTGTTTCCCACTTGGCCAGGTAGACACTAGAGGAAACCGGGGCCGGATTCCCTGGGGAAGAGCTGCATCCCAGTCCTGCCGACTCCCGGGGCACAACTAACTGCATACCAAAGGGTCTGAGACATCCCACAATGAAGACATTGACCGTGCTTTCTGTCCAGCAGCAGTCCCCAGACTTAGGGGACCAGTGAACTCATTTTTCCTGAGAATGACTCCTCAGAGGACACTGCCCCTCGTTTTCCAGTGTGCCGACGAGCTCACTTCTGCCCCCATTTTCTTCCACCCTCTCTTCCCAGAGCTTTCCAGGCACAAGCCCTCACTCCTGGAGTCCCTCGCCGTATCGTGTCATATCCACCCTGCTCAAGATGCTTCCCAAGCTGATAGGGAGAGGCTGGGTGGAGGGGACAAGGTGCAAAAACCACACATGCCCTTAGTCAATTTTTATGGCTATGGTTATGCCAAGGTGACCACTTTGGAGAGACTGAGAATACACGTGGGGGAAATATTTTTAATCCCTGAAGGTCACGAGAGAGAAGACTCACAAGGGCGATGGGATCAGAACCTGTTCTTTAATTAAGCTTCCCAACACCATGGTTTCCCATTCAAGAAGTTCAACCCTGAAGGCCTGTTATGAAAGTATTTGCCCCTCCATCCGGTCACCTTGACAAATGCAGCTGACCTGGATTCTGTGCGCACTTGACTCATACACTGCCAAAGCAAAGAGTGGGAATAATACAGTGGGAGAAGGTCCTCTGAGATCATCTAGAGGCCAGATTCTAGTCCCTCCCCCTCATTGTGAAGATGGGCAACCGAGGCCCAGAGAGGGGAAGCGATTTGTCTAAAACCACACAGCATGTCAGTGACCCACATCATCCGACCCCGCTGCTTAGCAGACAGTCCGTCTCACTTGACTTGTCTCTCATGGAGAAGAAATGGGAGACTTACAGGGACTTCCTACTTGCCAGAGACCAGAGTCCCAGACCTTACCAACAGGAACAGAGATGCAGCCTCGGAAGCCAACAAGCCATCTAAGTAAGCTCCAGGCTTGGAAAGTTGGCTCCCGGAGGGAGGCCCTGCCGATCCTTTTGCTCCTGTTCCAATGCTGTTTAGGCTACTGCTAATAATGTTTCGTGCCTGTGCTGGCTCAGAGCTTTGTTCTTCCCAACTTCTGTTTTCACCACTGACTTGTGGTCCTTGGCTCGGTGAACCCAGGGCTCCAGAATGTCGGGAAGACCAGGGCCCAGGGGCCAGAGTGGGTAGGAGGCAACTGAAACAGCAGCCGGGGGTTAGGGAACCTGACCTTGGAGGCACAGCCTGGCCACACAGCCCTCCAAGAAGGGAACCCAGGTGTTCCTATCCCCCAGAAAAGGCCCTCTGCCAGCACACCACATGTGGCTACTCCTGGACCACGAGGCTGCCAGAACCTACAGCTGGTTTGCATGGTGTTGTCTCCATCCTTGTCACCTGGGAACACACAGAATCTTACAGACCCGTACCAACTTGCACATCCGCTAAGAGCTCAGAGCTGAGACCGAGGGCACTAAAAACACACACAAGGAAAGCAGCCTGTGAACTCCAGGCTTGGCTGTGCTCTCGTGGGTACAGCTGGGCTGGAAGCTGGCCTGAGGACCACAGAACAGCAAAGGGGGATGGACCCGTCCCACCTGCCTCCGTGGACCGGCCAGGCCCCATGTGCCCAGACAGCCACACCCAGGCCCCTCTCTTCACACCTGATACCTCTTCCATGGGAACACAAACAGGTCATCTGTCTGGACAGGAGGCGGCCCAGAATTTTCCGGTTGACTCACACATCCATTCAAGGTGAAGTGGATAATGATACAAATAACAGCTGCCATTTATTGAGCACTTATTACATGCCAGGCGCTGTTCTAAGCCCTTGACAAGCATGGCCCCCCATTAATCCTCACAAAACCTTGCTAGCTGAGAATTAAGATGCCCGTGGGGCGGGTAAGAAAGAAGAGAAGCACAGAGGCCAGGGGCTTGCCCGAGCTCACGGGGCAGTCAGGACTCACACTGGCCGATTGCAGCGCTCCCTCTGCCCTGCAACCTGCTACCCACTAGTGTGAGTCTGTGAGTGTTTTGCCCCCACAGAGGCGGTCAGTCCTCCAGCACCACTGATACGGCATGTCAGTGCACCGGG